CTCCCAGAACTTTTTAAGGGTTGAATGTGCATCTGAGACCATCTGGCAGCACAAGCAGATGGCATTCGAGTCATAACTCAAGACTGTGGTTGTAAGTTAAAACTAAAATTACAGTAATAACCCAAGTGCTTCGTGCATCAGGCAATTCATAACTTGAGGGAACACTGTATAACAATTATTTATATAGCATTTATATTTTCTTAGGTATTTTAAGTAATATAGGGGATGACTTAAGGAACATGAGAGAATGTGGGTTATTAGCAATTACTATGCCATTTTATACAAGAGACGTAAGTATCAACAGATTTTTTAGTATCTGCCAGAGGTCCTGAAACAAATTCCCCAAAGACACTGGGGACAACTGTATTTTAACTTAACATGTTCACTACAAACGAAATAGGCCACTGGGGAGTGGTCTTTAATTAAAAGAATCAGATGGCATTTAGAATCTATCTTCAGAATCTATCTTTTGAATCTATCTTTTGAACTAATACATCCAATAAATTTTTATTAAAATTAAAATTTATTTTTTCCTCATTGAATTTATTGGTACATTTTAGGTATACAGTACAGTTAGTTACATTCATTATTGGGATCTTTAAAATTTATTTTATTAAAATTCTCTTCATTTACTTATCATCTAATATGAGAAATCATCCAATTTATAGAAGTTCTCTAACAGATATAATGAATGCCTTAACAAAAACAAAAGAAAGCCAAACAGGAAGCAAATAGAAATACAAATGGAAGTAGCAAAAAAAAGAATGAAATTCATATACAGTTTCAATGAAGAAAAAGCTCAAAAATAAATGCACCCTGGAGTAAAATCAGATGGGGCAGGGGGTCTGGGAAGTGAAATTTTAATCGTGCCAAGCACAGTGCTGTCCTCTTATAATAAACCTGCTAACAACCAGACAGCTTTACATTTATCGTGTTCACAAGAACAACAAAAAAACTACAATATTTTAAATGTCAATTTTAAAATAATATAAAATAGGACTGAGAGTACAGTTCAGTGGTTGCCTGGCCTGTGTAAGACCTCGGGTTCCATCCCCAGTATCGCAAAAACATAAAAAAGTAGATAAGAAAACTACAATAAAATGGAAGTGAAAGTAGACTACAGATGAAGCTGAGTCAGTCTATAAATGCCTACAAAGTTGACTCCACTCCCTCAAAAGAGGAAGACACTTAAAGAATTCAAATGCCCATAGGCAAGAATAAACTGGTCTCTGGGGTCTCTCTCAAGGCAGGACACGTCTGGAGTTGTGGAACATCTGCCTCAGTGACTTCTTTGCTTACAACATGACAACTTTCAGAGAGCTCTTTGGCATCTCAGCACAGAGCAGTGTATATGAGAACAACTAACTACCCTGTCGCTGTCAGGACAGTGACGCTGGCCATGACTGATAGTAGGGCTGGATGAAACACAGACTGCACAGTACCTAGAACAGAGGTTTGAACTTGCATGTCTGCAGGGGTCAAGACAAAGTGAGTCAAGTGAGCTTTTTTGGGGGGAGGAGGGTTGCTCTCATTGGTTCTTTTTGAGACAGGGTCTTGCTATGTAGTTCAGACTGGCCTCGAACTCAGTGATCCTCCTGCCTCAGCCTCCCAAGTGCTAGGATACAGGAATGTGACATCAGACCAAGCTAGTAAGCCACTTTTAAGAGGCAAAAAGTTATTTGTACAGCAAAATTCAGATCGCATATGAAACACACAAGATTCTTTTCTTAGTCAAAGTAATATACTTTTCTTCACTTTTCTTGGGCCATGTGGCACTCTGTGTGTACCTTTAATTATTCCTCTCTTGTCAGAAATGGAAATGGAAGTTTCTCTTCTGTAGGAAAATCCACAGTGTAATTTGGGGTAAGGCAAGAGGAAGACAGTGAGGAGCACAGCACACTGAAAAGCACAGGCTCCAGGGTAAAGATAAGTACCATGAGGCTCCTGATGATTTCTGCCAGACATTCCTTTTTTCAAAAGCCAAAAGCTCAGATTTTATGCAAAATCTCTTCATTTTAAATGCTGGCTCAAAATGAAAAAAAAAAAGCATTCAAACAAGATGCAGGAAAAACTAAACCTACTTCTTATCAACTGCCAGCTGGAGCCCGCTGGGCGTGAGGATTAAGTGGACTGCATGCCCTTTGGGGCAACCATACAACTATAATTTTTTTCAAATTAATTTCCTGAAAATGTGGACCCCCAACAGGTTCAAGGTTATACTCTCAGTAAGAACAGCCCATCGCACCGTGTGTACACTGCAGACACAGCTTCTCCCTGACCCTGTCCCCTCACCCTATAGCTCTGAGTGCCCTCTCCAGGACTCTGTGCAGCAGTGTGACTTGCTTTGGCCAACAGGAAATGAGCAAATGTGAGGTAAGCAGAGGCTGAAAGACATTTCTGCATCAGGCTTGCTCCCTCTTGCTGCCCTCTGAACCCCTGCCCCCATGCAATGAAGTTCAGAGAAGCCTACCGGGGGATAAGAGGCCACATGCCAAGGGTCCCACAAAGGCCATGCTTAACCCCCCACCCCAGAGGACCCGCCAAGTGCGTGCACACCTGGGCAACACAGAGACCAGCACAGGTGGCCAAGACCAAAAGAGCCAGCTGATATGCAGATTATGAGCCAAATAAATGACTGTTAGTTTGAGCCATGCAGCTAGAGGTTCAGCCAAAAACAGCTGATATATTCTAAAAGCTATCCGTAATATTCCTATGAAAGGGTCACTATAAAAATACTTGCAGTTCATCTAAGAGTACGTTTCCTCAAGAGATTGGCTTTTTTCTTGTCCAATCACCAACATTCTTATCACTTCATTAATGTCTTGATCAACACAAGCATAAAGCGACTGAGGCACTGCACCAGCCTTCTCAGTTGCTTCCCAAAAAGTGGGCAGCCAGCAGGGATTGGTACAATGCTGCCTCTCCCAGGGTCCTGTGCCAGGGAACTCCAGGCAGGAAGAGAGCAGTCAGCCAAGAGCCACTGGCCTTGGCCCTGGAGGTAGCCTGAGCCCTCGCGGAACAAGGACTCTGAAAAGGCCACCGGGCTGAACGCCTGCATGCGGGTCCTGGCAAGAACAAGCAACCAAGCCAAGGAGCTCTTCAAAAGAGGACACCGTATGGGAAGAAATGTAGAAAGAAAATGTTTCTGAATTTTAAAAAATAAGAAGCACAATAAGCCACCCAACCACCAGACAGCATCATTCAAATGCTTTAAAAACAGTTGCAAGCTAAATGAATGAGCTGACTTGCAGTGTACAATGGTACCATGAACATCAGGGGAAACGTCCAAAATTCACAACCTCTGCACGATCCTAGTCTCTAGCCTTTTTGTCTCGGGAAGAAAGATACAAAGACAACTGCTATTTGGTCTTTAGTGATTAACAGAAATAATGTTTTCTTTACTTAGAGAATTATTTTTCTTTCTGTTCTCTCTTGGGCCATGGGAAGAGCCCTTAGCTCAGGTCAGAGAATATAAAGTCATGAATGTGAAGTGTAATTGAAAATATAGTGATATTTAAATATTTGTTAAATTACTGCAGTAAGACACAATGCCATGAATCCACCCAAAGATACTCCCTCTAGCTTGGACCTCACTTATCCATGGTTCTTGCCACTTTCTGAAGCAGTTCTGGAAGTTCGCTTTTGTGTCATTACAAAGTATGATCTAAAATACACCCAACAAAAAGATGGACTATAAAACCATTATGATGTGTCTACCTTATTCACCAGATGTGGCACCAAAAACATGATGCCATATATTGTGATCACCCTTTGTGTTTTTCCCTGACCCCAGGAAAGAACTTAAAAATCATGCAACCCACCTTCTATATCTAATCTCTAATCCATGATTTTAAATAAGGACCTTCAGTGACCTTTAAACACCCAAAAGTGGGCTGGTGACACAGCTCGGTGATAGAATGTTTGCCTACCATGCTCCAGGCCAGCACTACCAAAATGAAAACTTCCCTTTCTTTCTATATTACTCCTCAAAGAACGAACCCAGCATCTGACCACGTCCATCCAGGCAGCACTCCCTGAGTGACTTCATCTTCCCCCGAAACCTGCCCCTGCCCTACACAACTCTTGCTCGGTGTTCAGCGTGACTAGAACTCTCATCATAATCACTCAGCCCTCTTCTGTGCTGGACTCAAAGACTCCCAAGTTTCGCCAATTTTATCTACTGTGCCTCAACTGTACCTTTTCTAAGATTCCTCATTGTGTCTGCTTCCAATTCATACCTCTTATCAAAACAAAAATAACAATCTCCTACCCCCATTCCTGCTTCTTTGTGTCCCATTTTGTATCATACTAGTGGATTTGTATGTAACAAGCAAGCTTTCTGAAGAACAGCACTGAGGCAGGCGTGGTGGTGCGCACCTGTAGTTCCAGCACTAGGGAGGCTGAGGCAGGAGGACTGCCATGATTTCAAGGACAGCCCCTGAATATAGAGCAAGACCCTGTCTCCAAAAAAAGGAAAAAAAAAGAGAGAAGGAAGAACATTGTCAGTCTCTTCTACAGTCTATTCCCAGACCTTCCAACTTGATTTCCAACCGTCACTCTCTCTTGCACACCATGTGGTCCACAAGAACTGTATTTACATCACTACTATGAATGCCCTAGCACTATGTCTTTCTCAGGAGGTACCTTATTTTAAAACATAATAATAAGTACAGTTTTCTAAACTCCCATGTACCAATCCTAGCCATGTTTTAATATCCAAATTAAATGATAATTTCTCTGGAAAGTTTTACCATTTCTCCCACAGGGCTGCATCTCCTTTTGAAGTCCCCCAGCAATTTACTGTGACTGTTTTCTTCTTTTACTAATGTTATCCCTCGCCCTAGAATGGATGTAGAAGTGCGAAACCACATGCACCTCTCACAGCTCCATGTCTACATGTAGTATGTAAATACACACTTTGCGAGTATGACAGCCTATCAGTTCTACTCTGGAGTCAAGCCCAGATCCAAGCACCTAGCTCAACAGACGGGACTACTCACATGATTTCCGCAGGGAACTGTGCGTTGGTGACCAGGAAGCTGGAGATTTTACAGTGGTGGAGCAGCTGCAGGAACCTGTTGATCTCCGGATACATTATTGGCTCTCCCACAAGGGACAAGGCGCAGTGCTTCACCTTCATCCCTTCCTCAAAGCGCTCTGGTTTGACACCTGGCACACCTGGAGGGCACAGTAAAAAGGACCGGGCTAAACGTGGTGCCAGAAAAAGGTATCACTTACATTTTGTTTGCTAATTCTTTGATTTTAAGGGCAAATTTGTTTTCTGATGCCAAAACATACAAAACAGAAGTAGGAAATACAAATACTAACTCAAAAGTCAGCCAGCAACTCGTTTTTGGTTTTGGTACTCTCTGAACTGCATCAGTCATTTCAATCAGAGAAAGCAAAAACTAGCTTGTTAGCTAATTATGTGGACAGCAGAATACACCACTAACTATAATTTCTTTTTTTTTTTTTCCTCATTGAGTTTATTGGTACTTTTTAGGTACATAGTACAGTTACATTCACCATTGGGATCTTGCACCTTTACATGACAGGTCTTGGTTCTCATTTTTTCCCCACACCCCTGCCCTCCCTTCACCCCCTCCACCCTTCCCTAATTACAAACACTTTGTTTCCATTATTTTGTTTCCTCATATTTTTTCTCTTCCCTTCTTTCCTTTCCCATACCCTTCCCATAATTTCTTATGTTGCCTAGAGAAATGAGCTCAGAGTACCCACCTAAGGAAAGGCCTCTTCTACACAATTCCTTCCCCACATTCCTAACATATACTGTGTTGGGAAACTCAAGGGGCCTGGTCAAGCTACAGAGGACAGGAAAAGAAGAGACTGGAAGTTCACATCTTTGACTTCACACTGGAATCACCGAGAAACTTCAAAATCCTAGACCCACCTCCAAAGATTCGGTTTTGCTGGGAGTGTGCAAGGAATGACCTCAAGGGTGTTCAGACAAACTGGGCAAGGTGCTGCGCACCTGCAGTCCCAGCCACTGAGAGAGGAAAGACTGCTTGAGTCCAGGAGTTAAGGAGACCTTTCTCTCAAAGCAAAAAGAAAAGGAAAACCAACCAAAACACCAAAAATCCAGTTCAGCAAGTAGTTCTAATATATATCCAAAGTTGAAAACCACTCCATAAACCACAGGACCCCAAACTTGCCTGCACATTAAACTCACTGGGGAATTTTTAAATTTCAAAAATCCAGGCCCCAGCTCAGACTAAGAAAAGCACACTAGCTGGGGGAAGTGCATGGGCATCAGTAGGTTTTGAGGCTCCCAGGGGTTCCACAAGCAGACAGACTTTGGAATCACTTGCACACTGCAGTGTCCCAACCCCAACTGGACCGGAACTGCTCTCCTAATACCAGTGTCCAGGCTGTTTCTCAGACCGATTAGTTACAGTCTCTGGGGACAGAACCCAGGCTCAGTGCTATCTGACAGGTTCTCCCATGACTCCAGAATGCAGCAGGGTGTGGCAAGCATGGCTCTCTTCCAGAGGGAGATAACATTCAGGGACAGATTGTCCTACAAATCCCTGGGATTGCCACAGAATGTGAAAGGACAACTGGCAAATAAAGACATAGCTCCTTTACAACAGAGACTTCCACAAACCCTAGATTCCTTTAGAGAATATATTCTCTCTGAAAGACACAAATTCCTCATGGAGATCAGAGATGGAGAGGAACCATGTCCATAGTCCCTCTGTGTCACTTATTATAAGCTAAATTTTCTTTAAAAATTATTGTGAACAGGGTTCGGGGATTTCACTCAATGGTCCCACCCCCTGCCTTGCAAACACAACGTCCCAAGTTCAAACCCTGGTACCAAAAAAAAAATTACTGTGAACAGTACCTACCACAGAGAGGTCCAGCTGAGTCCTTGGAATACAGGAAATATTCATTAAGGATTTGATTTTATCACCTTTATTCTGGTTTATTAAAATCAGTGATGAGTAATCAATAATCAAAATTAATCATGATCAGTGAATGACACTACTCACTAACAGAGAACCTGAAGATAATAAAGTGAACTCTCACTACTCAGTTGTTTCTTAGTCTGGAAATGACTGTATTTCATATACACACATGTAAAACCTACTCAGAAATAAGCAAGTGCAAATAAATGCCTACGAAATCAAGCCAACGCCATACGCTACAGGCTAAAATCAGAGCCATCTAGAAGTGACAGGTGATATCTTCTCATATGACTAACTGCAAAGTCTAAGAATGTATTTCACATCAGCAGTCTTGGATGAACAATTTTTTTAGGTTATTAAAATCTATGATCTTAACTGAATCGAGGTTTTAAATAAAACTTGATCCTTAAACTCAGTCTGTGTTGCCAAGACAACTCAGCAATGAGCATAAAATTTCCTCTTAGTAAGAAGTATCAGTAACTTTATATCCCTCATGAGCAGCTGAACAGAAGGCACATCAACTCGAACCCCAAAACAGACCTCACACAGAATATGGAACATGTGAACACCGGCCAGGCCCAGGCCAAGGAAGTCTGAGGCACTGAGTTCCAACTCTGGCTCGGCCACGCAGCCAGCTCTGTGCCCTTGGTCAAGCCTTTCACATTTTCTTTCCTTAACACTTTTTTCCAGATCATTTTTTTTATTCGCACGTTTGTAGTACATAATGTTTATGTTCCTCAATATTCAAAAAGGTGATTTTGCAGGCGCGCGAACGCTACTGTGCGCGCACACACACACACACACACACACACAGCTATTACAAGAATTAAATAAGCCACATGAAATACTTAGTGTGATGATGTCTAGCCCTATACACAGGCATTTTAAAAAAAATGTTAGCTGCAAACATTTTAATTTCGCGAACTGAAAAAGAAATTCAAGTATTTGAATTACTTTAAAGGAAATGGTGGGCCAGGGATTTAGCTCAGTGGTTCCAGTGCCTGCTTCGCAAGCATTAGGACGCGAGTTTGATCCCGGTACCAAATAAAAGGAAACGTTAAGTCCACAAATGCATATGGACTGATCACCAGCTATGTGTCAAGGACTATTTTAGGGGGTTCTTCTACTGCAGATAAAATAGAAAAATGTGTGCTTCTGGACAGTTTGCATTCTAGCCAGTGAGATACAGAGAACATTAAACATAATAAATCAGAAAATTCTACAGCAGAGCAATAAAGCAAAAGAACTTTCTCCAATGATTAAAATGTTCTTTCTCTGCACTAATATAACTCTCTTTTCCTAAAAATAAGACCTAGCCAGAAAATAATCAACCTTGAAACCAGAGATGAAAAATACCAGCCCCAATTAGCCTATCCTTCCTTGCCTTGCCTGCCTTACAGAGTAGCCACTAAGCAAGAGAATAGTGACGGTTAGTTTCCAAGGCTGATTATTTTCCGGCAAAGTCTTATCTTCAGGGAAACACGATAGTAGCTGGTAGCTACATACGACTACATGTGAGACCCTAAAATGTGCCTGGTGTGAATAAGAAAGTAAATTTTTTTTCTATTTTCATGAGTTTAAATTTAAAAGGCCTTATGCAGCTAATGGCTACCACACTGTTTACGTACTCATGATACCTCAGGAGGCCGCAAGCATCTGGAACAAAAAGGTAGAGCAGGGTGGAGACGATGTGGGATGCAAGCAGGAAGAGGCGGGCTGCCCTGTCCCCCAAGGGGTCAAGATGAGCCTTCATGAAGAGGTAAGGAAAGGCCAGGAGAAGAAGTGGGCCGGGGAAGAGGAGCGGGGACATACTTTGCCAGGGGGCGCCTGCTTGGCAGGGTCACGGTATCTGAGAGGCATGGCAGATTTGGGCAAGGGTGACATGGCTGACTCTGTGCTTTTTTAAATGGACCTAACAGGTTTTCTGTGGAAGACAGGGGAGCCAGGACAGAAGCTCACCAGCCAAAATCCTGTTACAGAACTCAAGCAAGAGACAATGGTGACCAGGACCAACACAGTGACTGTGGAGGGGGCACAAAGGGACCACAGACTGCATCTGTTCTGGACAGGACTTGCTGCTGGAGAAGATGCAGAGTGAGCAAGGATGAGCGGTGTCAAGGGTCTCTGCAGTTTAGGCCTATGCGACAGAACTGCCCTCCATGGAGGCAAAGAGAGCCCTGGGAAAACAGGTAATGGAGACAAGCAGTGCACAGCTTGGGTGAGGTCTGTCGGGTACCTGAATGTGTCTACAGCATTCACACTGGGGCTCTGGGAGACGGCTGGGTGGAAATAACCCTTCTGGCAATGGATGGTACTTCTATCCAGGGCTACACTCAGCTGGAAGCGCAGACAGTGGAGGACCAGCACTGAGTCCAGGACACACAGGATTCTAGGGAGATGCAGGGAGGACAGCCCAGGAACAGGGAGAGAAACATAAAAGTGGAGAAATCAAGTGCTAGCTCTTCTGAAGAGCTATAACTAAAAATACCATAGGGCCAGGGATGTAGCTCAGTGTGCAGCACCTGCCCGGCAAGCACGAGGCCCTGGGTTCGATTCCCAGTACCGCCCCCCCCAAAAAATTGATACTTGCCCATTTAAAAAACTACAAAAACAAAGATCAAAAAAGAAAAAATCCTAAGGGTAAGTCTTTTAAAATAGTGTATATGGGATTTAACAATCATCCTACTTCTGTCCAAAGGAAAGGCACTGAGAGGGTATTTAACACCCATTCCTGCTTCCTGCTCACTGCCAGAGGCTGCTGCTCCTCCTCCTGACATCGCACTCTCTGGGACTCAGCCTCAGGTCAGCAAAAAGAGCTCACTGTCTTTAGCAAGATGCGTCAGAAAATAAGACAACCTGACATTTCTAATGAACAGGAGTCCTGGAGAAAGAAGAGTCAGTCCAGCAACTGTAGACACTATAACATCCCTGGAGCAAATCCTGTGTGTGTGTGTGTGTGTGTGTGTGTGTGTGTGTGTCTCCCTTTCACACACACACGCACACACAGACACACACCTGCTCTCTTTTTATTTCCCAAATCTTAACCCTCTCAGAACTAAACTCTTTATTTTTCTTCAAATTTTTTCTTGCAAAGCAAGTTTCTTGGTATTTTTTTCATCCAGAACAGCTTCTTGATCCTGAATAATCACAGCTCCTGTCATCAGATCAACTGAGAAGCAGGCTTCATTTCCATGAAAGGTATCAAAGCAAGAACTTAGGAGTCCAGAACTTGCATCCTAACATCACATC